ACTTCTGTTTCATGAGAAACTATATGTTCTGTAAGTCTTCACCTGAAGTACAATTAAAAAAAAAAAAAACTTGAGAAAAATGAGAGCGAGTGCAGGCTCTTGGTTAATAGCTATTATGGATTGAATTGTGTCCCCCTAAAATATATGTTGTAAATCCTGCTATACTTGTGGTTATAATCCAGTTTGGAAATAGGGATTTCTCTGTTATATGAATGAGGCAGAATTAGTGTAGGGTGTGTCTTAATCTCTTTTGAGATGTGAAAGAACAGATAAAGCAAGCAGAGACGGGGGAAAAGAGATGCCAGGCCACATGAAGACCACCAAGGAGCCAAGGAACAGAAGCTGGAAAGACACAAGGACCTTCCTCCAGAGCTGGCAGAGAGAGAGCTTTCCCCTAGAGCCGGCACCCAGAAATCGAATTTCTAGCGTCCTAAATTGTGAGATAATAAATTGTTTGACAAAGCCACCCCCTTGTGGTATTTGTGTTATAGCAGCACCAGAAAACTAAGACAATAGCCATGGAAGTGCAGTTGTTGATCCTCTTTTAAGTATATCCATATACCTCAAGAAAAGGTTTAAACACAGAAGAAAACATTCTTTGATGGTTATGAGGGTGGGGAGGGAGGGAGAGGGGAATTCACTAACTAGGTAGCAGACAAGAATTATCTTAGGTGAAGGGAAGGATAACACACAGTACTCAGGGAAAGTCAGCACCACTGGACTAAACCAAAAGCTAAGAAGTTTCCTGAACGTAACCAACTGCTTCGAGGGACAGTGTAGCAGGGGCAGGGGTCTGGGGACCATGGTTTCAGGGGACATCTAGGTCAACTGGCATAACAAAGTCTATTAAGAAAATGTTCTGCATCCCACTTTGGTGAGTGGTGTCTCGGGTCCTAAAAGCTTGCGAACGACCATCTAAGATGCATCACTTCGTCGCAACCCACTTGGAGCAAAAGAGAATGAAGAACACCAAAGACACAAGGGAAATATTAGCCTAAGAGACAAAAGGGCCACATAAACCAGAGACTCCATTCAGCCTGAGACCAGAACTAGATGGTGCCCGGCTACCACCAATGACCGCCCTGACAGGGAACACAACAGAGTCCCTGACGGAATGGGAGAAAAGTGTGGAGCAGAACTCAAATTCACGTAAAAATACCAGACTTAATGGTCTGACTGAGACTGGAGGAACCCCTGAAGCCATGGCCCCTGGACGCTCTGTTAACCCAGAACTAAAACCTCTCCTGAAGCCCACTCTTCAGATAAAGATTAGACTGGACTATAAAACATAAAATAATACTTGTGAAGAGTGTGCTTCTTAGTTTAATCAGATACATGAGAGCAAACGGGTGGCTCTTATCTGGAGGCAGGATGAAAAGGCAGGAATGGACAGGAGCTGGTTGAGTGGACATGGGGGAAACCCGGGGTGGAAAGCGGGAGTGTGCTGTCACAAGGTAGGGATTGCAACTAGTGTCACATAACAATATGTGTATAAATTTTTGTATGAGAAATTAACTTGAGCTGTAAATTTTCACCTAAGGCACAATAAAAAAATACATATTTAAAAAACAAAAACAAAAACCTGTTGCTGTCAAGTTGATTATGACTCATAGTGACCCTATAGGACAGAGTAGAACTGCCCCATAGGGTTTTCAAGGAGCAACTGGTGATTCAAACTGCTGACCTTTCAGTTAGCGGCTGAATGCTTAACCACTACACCACCAGGGCTCTGTGCAGACTTAGTGCTGGGTAAATTAAAGAACCTGGGTGAGTAGTGGTGGTGGGGAGGGGTTGCCCTTGGGAATCTTCTCATAGGCACCTGCATCCCTCCCCTTGTCCCCTTCCCTGGTCAGATCTGGAGAGCAGAGATTGCAGCCACATGGTGCTGGCCGAGAAGACCCGAGTGGAGAGTGTGGAGCTGGTCTTACCCCCCCACGCCAATCACCAAGGCAACACCTTCGGGGGCCAGATCATGGCCTGGATGGAGAACGTGGCCACCATTGCAGCCAGGTGAGGGGAGAGTGCCTTGCCTTCACCTCCCGTCTCCCTTTTCCTCCGCCTTTCTTTTGCCAGCTCCCTCTCTGGGAAACCTCAGCTTGGTGTTGGCATTTGATGTTTGACATCTTGGCTGTTTTGTTGGGGTAACCCAGGGCTTTCAGACCCAGAGAGCTGGAGGGAAATGATGTTCTGTGTGTTGACCTTTTCTCCATAGTCTGCATGGTAGATGCCAAGCCCTCAGCCTGGCACCAGGGCCTCCCCTTGGTCTGGCCCTGCCTGCTCTCTTCTTTGTGTCTTAGGCTGTCTTCAGACCAAGCTGTTGGCCGTTCCCCACTCTCATCCTGCACATTCCTACCCCCTGCCTTTGTTCCTGGTCTAATGTTCCGCCATGACATCCCCCACTTGTCTTGGTCTGCTAAAATCCTACCTGCCTTCTCCATGAACCCTTCTGTAACGGTTCCCTTCTTTCTAGACTAAAAACAATTCCTTCTGTAACCTTTCGTGCCTATCCAGGAGTTGTTCTGCGAGCCCTCGTGACACAATGGATAAGTGTTCAGCTCTTAACCAAAAAGTTGGCAGTTCAAATCCACCAGCTGCTCCTTGGAAACCCTATGGGGCAGTTCTACTCTGTCCTCTAGGGTCACTATGGGTCGGAATCAGCTTGACTGCAGTGGGTTTTTAGCGCTTGTTCTACCATTCTACCCTAAATATCAGGAGTTTTTTGGTCTTTTTAAAAAAATAGTTATAATAACTACCTTTCACTGACTAACACTCTTATATCTCTATGACTTGGTATTTGCTGTTTCCCTCTATCTGAAGTGCCCTCTTCAGCCAGGTGAATTCCTTATACTTTAGAGCCTAGCTCAAATGGGCCCTCCTCTGTGTCTAACCTGTGGAGACAGCGCATAGCAATGAATTTCAGGCAGCTCCAGCTGTAAGTGCCATAAGATCTCCGAGAAGGGTGAGAGCCTAGGTGGTCAAGGAGGACTTCCTGGAGGAGGGGCTCTTGAGCTGGGCCTTGAATGACAAGTAGCTTTGAGTAGGGGAAGTAAAGGTTGGAAGGAAAATGGGGCAGGGGTTTTACTCCAAGCTCTGCCCCAGGCTTTCCTCTGTCACCTCAAACTCAGCTCCTTTCTAGCCATGCACATAGACCTCAGTGTTCTAACTGTGAAATGGGACTTTAGTTCTGTTCCTCTGGGCAGAACTATCGTTGGGTTGGGTGGGATGGAGGCTGGTGGGCCAGAGGGCAGTCCCTGTGGCTCCAGGCCAGGTCTGGGGGTGGGAGCAGGGGAAGGAAGCTGGCCCAAGGCAGTGGCTAGGGCACGAGGGATTTCTCCTGGCCCTTCCTGGTCTTCCTCTAGCCGGCTGTGTCGGGCCCACCCTACACTGAAGGCCATTGAGATGTTCCACTTCCGTGGCCCGTCTCAGGTTGGGGACCGCCTGGTGTTCAAGGCCATCGTGAACAATGCCTTCAAGCATAGGTGAGGAGCTGGGATGGGTGGGACTGGGTCCCCAGGGCAGAGGCCTTGTCCTGACTGGAGAAGGGACCCTTACCTACTAGGAGCCCGTCACTCTGCAGACAAGGTCTAAACTCCAGCCTGGCAGCACAGTCCCTCTACCGTCACTGAGATTTAGGCTGTCTGGGACCATACCATGTGCTCAGTGTGGCTCTGTCTCTCTCCCCAGCCCTGACTCCAGGCCTTACATACTGTAGGTGCTCTGATCCCAGGGCCACTTCCTGCCAGTGCTCTGCTGCTTAGCAAGCCCTTTCTCACCCATTTCCTAAGACAAAAGTTAGACCCCTCAGTCGTGTTCTTTGGAATGAATTCTAATCCCCACTCCCCCGAAAACTTACTTTAAATAAGTGTCTTTCTTGGTGATTTTAAAGATCATAGGGTCTCTATGAGTCGGAATTGAATTGACTACAACAGATTTGGTTTGTTTTTTTTAGTGCAGTCATTAAAAGTAACAGCTCTGGAGCCAGCCTGCCTGGGTTCAGATTTTGGCCCCACCTCTTACTTGCTGTGTGACCTTGGGCAAGTTACTAAACCCCTCTGAACTTCAGTTCTTTTGTCTGTGAAATTGTGCTCACCACAATTATCTCATAGCTGTGAGGATTCAGTGAGGTGTTATTAGCAGAATGCCAGAGAAAATGTTCAGTTAAGACCAGCCACTGCCGCTGCTGCTGGCTATCATCGTCATCATCATTATTATTGGCTGTCAAACCAGCATACTTTCTGCTACTTTGCAAGGGAAAAACCCTTAACTAGGTTCTCTTCCTGACTGGTTATTTGACCTTGGGCAAGTTTCTGCCCCATTCTGGGTCTTGGTCTCCCCATCTGTATAATGGCTATATTTTGAAATTATAGAACTTCCTAAGTGAGAAGAAATGTGGTGGCTGCTATTATTAAATTAATACAGACAGTAAGATATACATGAACAGCGGCAACTGAGCTGTTAGAAGCCTGGCTGGTACAGCGCTGTGAATAGTGGGTAATGAACTTTTTTCTAATTAGGCCATCCACCCCTACCTCTCTGCTTACTTCCTTTCATAACCCCGTGCAATTCCTAATTACATATTTATATCTTTGCTTACTTGTTTGTGACCCATTCCCTAGCTGTTAGCCCATGAGGGCATGGGCCAGACAGATTTATTCATTTTGTGTCCTCAGTGTCTACTACGGAGTCCCTGGGTAGTACAAATGGTTAATGTGCTCAGTTGCTAACCGAAAGGTTGGCAGTTCTAGTCCACCTAATGGTGCTTTGGAAGAAAGGCCTGGCAGTCTACTTCAGAGAAACCAGCCATTGCAAACGCTGTGGAGCACAGTTCTACTCTGACACACATGGGCTCACCAAGAGTTGGAGTTGACTTGATGGCAGCTGGTGGTGGTGGTGGTGGTGGTGATGGTAGCGTGCCTATCCCAGGGTCAGGCACACAGTAGGCGCTCTGTGAACATTGATGGGAGGGAGAGGAGGGAGCTATTCTTGGTTCCTGCCAGTGGGACTCTGCTCTGAGTTGCTGGAAGAACTGCAGGAGTGTGTGCATGCATAAGTGTGTGGGGAGTGTGGGGAGAGGGGGAACGGCCTCAGGAAGGTCTGTCCAGCGTGGAAGCATCCTTCCCCCGCCCCCGCCACAGCATGGAGGTGGGTGTGTGCGTGGAGGCCTACCGCCAGGAGGCCGAGACCCACCGGCGACACATCAACAGCGCCTTCATGACCTTTGTGGTCTTGGACGTAAATGACCAGCCCCAGAAGCTGCCCTGGATTCGGCCCCAGCCTGGGGTGAGTGGGAATGGTGCCCTGCCCCACCCATTGACTCTTCTCCCTCTCTGCCCAGGGTGGTGGGGCCTACCAGCCCCCTGACAGGCCCAGGGGAATGAGGGGCCCAGTGCCCTGGTTGTGACCCCCGGTGATGCCCCTAGAAGAACGCAGAACGTGCGTGAGGTCCTGGCTCATAGTTGGGTGTTAGTGGGTGCTCACAAATCTGTGGAGCTGGAAGAGCACTAGTTTTGGAGTCAGGTCTCTGCCACGTCCTACCTGGTGTGCTTGCGAGCTTCATTCCCCATCTGTACACTGAGCATATGGACAGTCCCTGCCTCACAGGGCTGTTGGGGGTGATATGTAATACTGACTGAGGGCCTTAGCCCCGTGCCTGACAAACCCTGGAAGCCCTCAGTAAGGGGTGATGAGAGAGCAGAGAGCATGGAGACAGGAGTCGGGAAATGGATTTGGAGGCTGTCTTTAAAAAAAAAAGCTCCCACGTGCCTCCTGTGCTCCAGGCCCTGGGGTTCGGTCTAGGCCCAGCTGGCTTTGACCTTGGAGAGGTGTCTTCCTCTCTCTGAGAAGGTCACTGCCCTACCTGCCCACTTTGCAAGCCTAAGCATGGGCTGTAAAAATCCCACCACTCTGCAGCCAGCGGTTGGGCTGTCAAGAGTGGGTGGTGGGTGGAAGAGTGGGGGTTCTTGAAGATGGGTGGGCACGGTTAGAGTTCACAAGGTGCTTTTCACAGGTCTTCTGCCATTTACTGCTCAAAAATGGGGGCAAGGGAGACACTAGAGGTGACAGTTAAAATGGTGGGCTTCAAGTCAGGCCATTTGGGTTCTGATCCTGGCTCCACCCCTTACCTCTGCTGTGACCTTGGGCAAGCCACTTCACCTTTCTGTGCCTCAGTTTCCTCATCTGTAAAATGGGAGTAGTAATAGCACCAACCTCAGAGTGCTGTTCTAAGGGTTAGATGAAACAGTACATGGGAGCACTTTAGCAGAGTCCTGGCACTTAGGAAGTGCTCCATCGATGAGGGTTCTCACTCCACTATCAGTGCCCTCTAAAGGTCTCCGCCGTACAGGGGAGGACACAGAGGTCCAGTGAAGGGAAGAGGCGTTCCCAAAGGCACCCTGAGTCTGCGGGGACCTGGGGCTGGAGCTCAGTCCCTGGGCGCTTTCTTGGCCAGATTGGTTTACGTCTGGCTGCCGAGTGAGACCTGAACCCTGCTGTAGGGCTGCAGGGCCTCCTAGGGTGCTCAGAAAGTGGGGAGGCAGGCTGGTTGACCTGCCTACACCACGGTCTGTCCCTGTGTCCCTCCTCAGGACGGTGAGCGGCGGTACCGAGAGGCCAGTGCCAGGAAGAAGATCCGCCTTGACAGGTGAGTGGGGGCTGTCTGCTTGCGCCTCTGGCCCCAGGGCACTTGCATTTCATCAGGGCGGCCCCCATGTTCCAGGCATGGGGTGGGCCCTGTACAGACAGCCTCTGGTTTTGGCCTTATTACACAGCAGTCTCATTGGCCCATTGTACAGGCGAGGACACTGAAGACAGAGGCGTTAGGTGGCTTGCCCAAGGCCACACAGATAGGAGTGATCTGCAGAGTCAGAATTTGAATCTGGCCAAGTCTGGCCAATTTTAAATGCTGTGTTTTTCTATTGACTCTGGTGCCCGTTTGGTAGATGAAGAAAGGCTCCAGGAGGAGATGCAGCTTGCTCAAGATGCAAGCCCAGGTGTGTCTGACTCTGCTGTGAAAGCACTTTACACACTTGGAAGTGCTATGAACACATGGGGGTTCACGAACCTTTGTTAATATAAAAAAGTGTGCATTTATGGAGCATTTACTATGTGCCAAGCACTGTTCTCATGATGACCCTATGAGGCGGCTATGACTACTAGCCCATTTTACAGATCAGGACACGGAGGCAGAAAAGTAGGGTAGCCTAAGCCAGGGAGTCCCTGGGTGGTACAACAATTAACACGCTTGGCTGCTAACCAAAAGGTTAGAAGTCCAAGTCTACCCAGAGGTGCCTTAGAAGAAAGGCCTGGAGATCTACTTCCAAAACATCAGCTATTGGAAACCTGACGGAACATAATTCTACTCTGACACATATGGGGTCACCATGAGTAGGTGTTGACTCAGAGACACCCCCCCCCAAAAATAAAGCCTTAGCCAGAGTTGCCCAGCAAAGGTGTAGGGGAACTGAGCTTTAAATCTGACACCCTTCCTCCCCAGCTTGTTCCCCACCTCCGAGCTGCTGTTGGTGTACTGGACTGAGTTTGTGTATTCTCGGGTCGCTGAGTCCACCCAGTCTTCCTAGCCGGACAGGAGAGTGTCTCTCATCTGCTGAGCTTGGCTCAGGGTCTAGCGCACAATAGGCTTACAGTAAAGTCTGTTGAAAGGGATGGGGCTTCCAAGGGACCAAGGCTGTCATCTTCCCTCTCTCGCAGGAAGTACATCGTGTCCTGTAAGCAGGCGGAGGTGCCCCTCTCTGTGCCCTGGGACCCCAGCAACCAGGTGAGGCCCATTGCTCAGAGGGGACAGCCTTCAGGCCCATAGGGGTCTCCCCTAACCTTCCCCTTCTTGTCAGAGTGGGCTTGGGGTAGGCCAGAAAGGAACAGGGTCTGAATGGTGTACCTTACAACTGTTATAGATAACAGAGGGCTTTCCTGGGTTCCCGCTGTTTGGCAGGAGGGAGCCGAGGCCCTGAGAGGAGAAGTGACTTGTCCAGGGAGGGTCACACAGTGAGTCTAGCCAAGCCTGGCCCTCCTTTCCCAAAGCCCAGGGCTCTTTCCAGAGTACCCCTCCCCCATTCATGATCCAGGTTCCTCTCCCCACACTACATGGCCTTGGCACAGGGGCCACCTGAGGAAGGGGGAGAGTATAGCTTCTCTGTGTGCTCTGTCCAGGTGTACCTGAGCTACAACAACGTCTCCTCCCTGAAGATGCTTGTGGCCAAGGACAACTGGGCACTGTCCTCGGAGATCAATGAGGTAACTGACCCCACCCACCTTTCCTTTCACCTCTGAGCAGCCAGAGTCCTTTGTCTTGGTCAGAAGTGACTGATTGCAAGCAACAGAAACTCTCAAACCATTTGTATCTAAAGGGGGCTTCTGGAAATGAATTGGAGAGATTGTGGAACCAACCCAGTTACAGAAATACAGCCGCCCGCACAGGGCCTGGAGTGAAGAACCAGAAAATCCTTTCTCTCCTGTCTGCCTTCTTGTCCCCGATCTCTCATCTCTGCTGCTCTCTGCCAAGCTGCTCCCCGCTCTCTTTGCTCCTTCTGTAGAGTCATTGTGAGAATGGGGACCAGTGGGAAAACACTGGCTGAGAGAAGACCCGAGCCCTGCCACTGACTTCCTGTGCCCTTGGGCAAGTCACTTCCCCATCTGTGGCACTGGGGATGGGATGGGCTCCTGACTTTGAGGATCCATTGCACTGTTGCCTCAGTTCCTGCTTCTCAAGGCACTTTCCTGTCCAGTTGTACTGAATTCTCTCAGTTCTTCATGGGGATGCAACTGAGGCTCAGAGAAGTTGAGTCACTGGTTCACGTAACAAGCCAGTGGCAGCCCGGGCTCCAGCACCTCAGCCAGCCCGCCCCACCCCCTGGCATAGTCTGGGGAGGGGGCGCAGGAACGAGGCCACCCTCTGTCTGATGCAGGTGCACCTGTATACCCTGGAGGACGACAAGTTCCTCTCCTTCCACGTGGAAATGGTGGTGCATGTGGATGCAGCCCAGGCCTTCCAGCTGCTCTCGGACCTGCACCGGAGGCCCAAGTGGGACAAGCACTACCGGTGAGGGGCTGGGCACGTGGGGAGTGGGTCATGCACTTGAACTCAGAGAGAGATCAGTGATTGCCAAACCATGGTCTGTGGAGTCCTAATTTTCCAAAGGGGGCTCAGGAACGGCTGGTGGACAGGGCACTGACAGAGTGAGCAGGGCTTCGGGACCCCCTGTGAGGTCTAGGACGACTCACGGAACGGCCAAATTGCTGCAATTACCAAATGTGCCGATTCTTGTGACTGTGTTATTTTTTAATATAGTAGTCAATGACTATGAATAGCAACGTGTTCTTCTTATGAGTTCGTTTGTTCCCCAAATTTACTGATTCCTCATATGAATATCTTCTTGAACTTAGTCAAGGAAGATAAATATATTCTTAGGAAAAGAGCCAAAATTTCAGTGTTTAATATGGGAATTTTTAAGTTTAAATGGATGCTTTTCTCAAATCACTTTTAAAGTCATTTTCTGTTATGTCAACACCTTAGCTTTTGGGAGTTCTTTAATTGTTTCTTGAATGGCTTATTCATGAGGAGACTTTATTCCTGAGATATCCATAAGAAGGATCTGCGTATTTGGATATTCAGCGAGCTGGTCACTTGGCAGGAAATCCTGGTGGCATAGTGGTGAAGAGCTACGGCTGCTAACCAAAAGGTCAGCAGTTCAAATCCACCAGGCGCTCCTTGGAAAGGCTATGGGATAGTTCTACTCTGTCCTACAGGGTTGCTATGAGTCGGAATCAACTCAATGGCAACGAGTTGTTTGTTGTGGTTATTTGGCGAGTTGGTTTTTGGCAGATTGGCTTCCTTCTTCTTACCCTCATCTATCTTCACCAGAGTAGGCCCACTTATAGCTGTATTTACACGGGCTTTGTGCATAAGGATTCTTTGCAAAAAGGGCTGTGTTGGTCTAGGTGACTCCAGGTCCTGGGGGTGCATTCTAGGAGACTGAGGGTAATTTGGTGATGGATATGGGAGGAGGGTTGCATATGGTAGGAAGGCTTCTTGGAGGCGGTGGACCCTTGTGGGTGTTGAAAGCCATGATCAGATCTTGATACTTGATGGGTTGATTGGGGGATGGCCCGAGGGGAACGAGAGCCCCTAGATGGCTGCCCCCCTCCGCACCCAATCTTCAAGGAAGAGCAGAAGAGTGGGGGAGAAGGCAGTGGGTTTGGACACAGCCATGCATATCTCTGTGTGGATGCCCTGTGTGTGTCTGGGTGTCGGTGTAAACCTGTGTGTGTGCACCTGGGCACATGCCTGCTGTGTACCCAGGCCTGGGGCACAGCTCTCGCACCTGGCAGCTTGAGCACAAGTCCTGGCTCTGCTTCCTTATTGACTCTGTGACCGTGGGCAGCTCCATCCCTGAGTCTCAGCTTCCTTAGCTGTAAAATGTGGATAATAAGAGTAACTGCCGCAAGGGGCTGTTGTGAGGTTAAACGGGAAGCACTTAGAGCAGTGCCTGGCGTACAGGGCTGCTCAGCAGATCGTAAGCACGAGGGCTAAATCGTCACACGTGTGTGTGGGGCAGGTGCCCCTGCGCAGGCATATGCGGACGCGTATGGATCTGTGTGAGTGTCAGGGTCTATCCCTGAGTCTGTGCACGTGTACCCACCTGTGTGCATGTGTCTGTACATGTCTGGGTCTGTTCTGTGTCCGTGCGTGCATGCATTTGCTTGTGTACGTGCCTCTGTGTGCCTCTGTGTGGCCCTGTCTGGACTGTGACTTTCTGCTCTCCTACTGGTCCCTGCTGAGCAGTGCAGGGGACAAGGTGTCACCACAGAAGATGCTCAGAGAGGCTGAAGCATGGGAGGGACCTGCTGCTCCCGCAAGGAGCTGGGTGACCCCGCTGGTCCCGATCTCTCGTCCTTTCCGCAGGAGTGTGGAACTAGTGCAGCAGGTGGACGAGGACGATGCCATCTACCACGTCATCAGCCCCGCCCTCGGTAGTGACACCAAGCCCCATGACTTTGTGATCCTGGCCTCGAGGCGGAAGCCTTGTGACAACAGGTGGGTGCCTGCCTACGGGGTGGGGGGACAGGGGACAGCAGAGTGGGGAGAAGGGAAGGCTCATCTTCCTCCCCGGGGAGGAGACATCAGCCTAGATTCAGAGCTCCGCTTCCTTTTGGCTGCGGGACCCGAGGTACCATGCTGGACCCCTCTGAGCTGCTATGGCTTTCCCATGGACAAAATGGGGAAAGGAGCACCCACCTCCCGTCTACTCACTCGTGCTCTAAAGCAGGGTCACCTCTGTCCCTGGGGCAGCTGAGGCTGCCTTGACCAGGCCATGGACGGGACATTTCTCACGAGCCCACCTCCTTGGCCTCTGTGCTCTGAGCGCTTGGTGTTGACTGGAGGGTGGTGAGCCTGCCCACTGTGCCATGGGTGGAATGCCGGTGCAGATGGCCCCACTTCCATTAGGGACAGTGGCCAGAACATGAGGAATAAACACCTCCAGACACACAACTCTTGCCCTGAGTGTCTGCAGTGGAGGGGCTGTTCCAGGAGCCCCACAGTGAAGTCACGCTGGCTCCTAGTGAACCCAGGGCTGCTAACCCTCAGGGGCCTCCTCTCAAGGGCAGGGGCATTAAAAGTTATGTGTTCAAGACCCGCGGGGAGGGCATAGATGCCAGAAGACGGGCTCCAGAATCTGGGGACGGGGACAGGACCCGTGTCTGGGCTGGGCAGAACAGACCCTGACCTTCTCCTGTGGCTGACCCTTGCCCTTCTCCCATGCTTCTGCCGCTACAGGGACCCGTATATCATCGCACTGAGGTCAGTCACACTTCCCACGCACCTCGAGACACCGGAGTACAAGCGCGGGGAGACCCTCTGCTCAGGCTTCTGCCTCTGGCGCGAGGGGGACCAGTTGACCAAGGTGAGGCCTGGCATCCCCTTCCCCCCTGCACCCCCAACCAAGCAACCTGGCTCCACCCTGATGTGCACATGAGTCCTGAGCTCAGCACTGTGAGCTCAGACAGTTCTAGGCCCAGCCCACCGCTCACAGGCTCCCTCTTCCAGCTTGGGGAGCCTGGGAGTGTTAAGGGCCAAAAATGAACCTTTATTAAGATCTCATCCTGTGCAGAGAGAAGTCAGAGGCCACTGCGGGGTCTTGGAGAAAGCCCTGGACACTGAGAGCAGAAAGCCTGGGTTCTGATCTAAAATTCATCGCATTATTTGTTTACTTATACCCCCCTTCTTGTCTAAGAAGGCTTTATATGGCTCTGAGGATCCATAAACTTTATATGGCTCTGAGGATCCATAAAACTCAGCAGGGCAGTCTGTGTTAATTGAAAACGTGGGGAGGAGGCTGAGAGAAGGCGAGGGTGGGGATACTGCAGCTCCCCTTCTTCAGCTCGGAGCTTCCGTTAGGGCCCTGCAGCCCTCAGTCTAGCTTTGAGACTCACCCAGGTAGGAACTGAGGTGTAAAAACCAACGAAACCAGTTGCTGTTGAGTTGATTCCAACTCATGGTGACCCCAGGTGTGTCAGAGTAGAGCTGTGCTCCAAAGGCTTTTCAATGGCTAATTTTTCAGAAGCAAATCACCAGGGCTTTCTTCCAAGGTGCCTCTGGGTGGACTCAAACCTCCAGCCTTTCAACCGACAGTTAGCCAGTGTTTGCTAAATCAATACTCAAGCTGACAAGCTTCCCTGGGCTCACCTCCGAGGAAGTGGCTCATGCCTCACTCGCCTCTGCTTCCTTTTTGGCCTCTGTGGCCCCAGAGCACCTTCATTTAAAAAGAGTTCAGTGCTGGGTTCCAGAGACAGAGCACACCCAGGCCCTGACCTCCAGTATGGTGGATGGTGACAGAGGGAAGCCAGGGTTGTCAGCACCCTGAGGAGGGGTCTCTGGGAACTGGCTGGAGGGGGTCACACCTACTAATCATGTAACCGTCTAAGACTCCGGGGTGCTGGCAGGGGTGGGTGTGTATTCGCTCCCCTCCCAGAAGGTGAGCAAGGCGACCCCATCTGCCTCATGCCCGCTTGGCTACTCCCCCCTACAGCAGCCCCCACCCTCGTTCAGTCTCCCTGAGTGTGGCGTCCTGTCCTGCAGGTATCCTACTACAACCAGGCCACCACCGGCTTTCTCAACTACGTGACCACCAACGTGGCCGGCCTCTCCTCTGAGTTCTACACCACCTTCAAAGCTTGTGAGCAGTTCCTCTTGGACAACCGGAACGACCTGGCTCCCAGCCTCCAGACCCTCTAGGCACCTCAGTGCCCATTCACCTCCATCCTGCCCCAAGGACACGTGTAGAGCGCGGATGAAGGCACAGGCGTTTATTCCTTCCTGCTCCCCCATGGGAAGCCTTGACCCTGGGGTCTGCTGGCCCGGCAGTGCTTGAGTGGTCAGTTTCTGCCAATGTCTGCCATCAAGTCCTCTCGGAAATCCTGGGGCAGTCTGTAGTAGACCCGGGTTCTGTCCACAGCCCTGGCTGCTAGCAGCCCTGCCCGCCCAGCTGCATAGTTTCCCTCGGCTGGGTTGTGCTCGATCGTGACAGTGGCCCGGGGGGAGGCTGCCAGCAGCCTTGTCACGGCTCCAGCCATGCTGTGGCCCAGAGGCCTTGCCTGCAGCTGGAAGGACACGGGTTGCCAGAGCCCCTGGCACAGCTCTAGCATATCTGTGAGCAGCTGTTCCCTGTAGCCACTGCCCAGCACATCCTCAGGCCAGCCGGGGGCCACTGTCACGTGGGGGAACACCTCAGCCACAGCTGCAAGAAACTCGCTGCCAGCCACGTGGCCAGGGACCGCAAAACTCCCATGGGAGAGCGTGGCCCCGACCCACACAGGCCGACGCAGGTGGCCCAGGGTAGAGAGACGGGCCAGCATGGCCAGAGATGGCCGGAGGGCTGTGGGCTCTGCTATGTGTAAGTGGATACCCCAGTGTCCAGGGCGTGTGGCGAGCTGCAGCAGGCAGGACTCCAGTGTCAGGGCAGGTCCCCCTGGGAAGTGTACGATGGGCACGGGGTCCCCGGCTGCAGGTTCCTGGAGACCAGTGTTCAGCAGGATCAAGCCTTCTCTGTCTGGAAGAGGCAACCAAGGCTACAGTGTCTTGAGTTCAAGTTACCATGGGGGCGCTGGAGGCCCTTGTCAAAGGGACAGTGGAGGGGACTATGAGGACCACCATGGAGAAGGAGCAGGTGCCTGGACTGCCTGGAATCTGTTGACCGATTCTGGGTCAGTGTGTGGAAGGGTTGCTTTATAAATATGCTTAGCACTCATCAGAATAGCACAATACACCGCTAGCTCAGCTCTTGGCTTCTACCGTGACTCAGCCCTGTGGCACACGCCTGCCTCTCCTGCAGCTCTGTGTGGCTGAGGGCTCAAGGGCACTGCTCTGAAGACCAGGAGCCTCATGTTCTTGGCACCACTGTACTCCCTCCCTCTACCCTCATCCCACTTGTGGCTTAAACAGGTCCGTGTTCCCATGGTAACAGAGACCCGCAGTACCTAGCCCAAGCAAAGGACACCCCGCAGTTTAACCAGGAGCACAGGGACTCGGGCAGACCTTACCTGGGAGTGTAACTGTTGCTGTTCTCCCATTGCCCTGGATACCAGGCACCAGCCACTCCACACCCAGACCATCACCCTTGGGGGGCTGGAGGAGAGGGATCAGGCTGCCCCCTGTGTAGTAGATTTGCTTCCGGGTGGCATTCCCTGTGGGACCCCCAAATAGCCAAGATGAAGTGGCCGCCATTCACAGGGCACATTCCATTGTCCAGGGTGCTACTCGTATTCTCTCTGCGCCTCACTGCAACCTGCCAGGTAACTGCTGTTTCCTGTTTTATAAATTATAAGCGGTGACTTGCCCAAGGTCCTATAGCCAGTAAGTAGAGTCACTGGGATTGGAACCTGATGGAACCAGGTGTCTGGCCCTGAAGCTGGTATCCCTCTCCCTTGCTTAAGTACCTCCCTGGAAAGTTAGAGAACATTGAGCCTGTTGGGGTCCCTTTGAGATGGCTAAACTGCAGGCTCTCATAGTTTCAGGATCAATGGAATGAGGGGTTTGGATGAGGGAAGAGGAGGAGGCTGCTTGTCTGAAATAGTCAGTCTGAAATTTGCTGGGTTCCAGTCTGAGCTGTGCCACTTACAAGCTGGATGACTTTGTATAGATCACTTAACTGTTCTGACCCACAGTTTCCCTGTCCATAAAATGGAATTCCTGCTTCATGGATCTATGGAGCTGAGATAGCATCCCATGTGTGGCAGTGCCCAGCCCAGAGTCTGGCACACAGTATAGATCCTTCCTCATATTCCACCCAGGATTTCCCCCTTCCGATGTGCCTCCCCTTTCAGCTCTGCTCCAGTGTCCACCTAATGCTGAACCCTTGCAGAATCCAGCCCACACCACCCTCCTCCCCAGGCCCCCTCCCCACCTGCAAGCTGCTTGAACTGTGACAGGATAGGCTCAAAGAGGTCATAGTAGACTTGGTGGGTGGCGCTGTTGTCCCGGATGTAGAGGAGATCTTCCACTGACAGGGGGTCCGAGGCAGCCTGCCACAGTGTCAGGCTGTACCTGGGGCCCAGAGAGCCGGCTCAGCTGCCTGCCTGGGCCCAGTGAGGCCCTCGGCACACCCTCTGCACTCAGAATTGGGCCCCAGCTGAGCCCAGAGCAGGAAGGAGTATCTGCCCTCCAGCCTTGACCAGCCACTTCTCCCTGACCACCACCCCCTTCCTGGGGCAGAAGAAGCCAAACGGGGTTCAGGAAGATGATTGAAAGCAGAGGTCCAGAGAGAGGGAGGGTTGGCCTGCCCTGCCATCTCACTTGGAGCGTGTCTGTTTCTGGGTCCTGTCTTAGGAAAGGGACAAAGACAGAAGGGGGTTGGGGGAGGATATCAGACACGCAGAGGAGAAGGAGGCAGCCCTGGGATTCCTGTGGGGAGTAGCTGAGGAAGCTGGAGCCGGGCAGTTTGGAGCCAACTGGGTGTGTGTATAGGGGGGTGTCATCAATCTCTACAGGGCTATCCTGGGATAGGACTATCCCAGGTCAAACTGCAGGCACAGTCTGTGTAGTCCCAGGGGCGCAGCTGGCTCCCACGGGAGGAGGCTGCCGGGAGGCATATTGTGTCTCAGTATAAACACTACCCAACAGGCAGAGAGTTACCACCAATGCAAGAGCTGTCTCAGGAGGTGGTGAGCACCAGTGGGGATTAGACCAGATAATCTTTAAGACCCTTCCAGCCATGAGTGTTTGGGATCTTTCTGGGAGACATTAGTTCCTGGGGGTAGGTTTGGAGGGAGGCTGTGGTAGGGGCCCAGGAGTTTTCACCTCTCAGATTGGCCCAGCAGCCAGCTGAAGTGGGGCCAGGCAGCCCGCACCATGATGGCTCGCACAGGGAAGGTGACCCTCTGCGGTAGTGCTCCCACCAGTGCCTGCATCTCCTCCACCATGGCACACGTGTATGTCCTGTTCGAGGTCAGGGGCACGTAGAGTGTGGTCCAGCCAGGAGACAGGGTGGCCTCAGGATACTTCTCCTGGACCAGGGCCAGGAACCTGCAGAGAATCAGAGGCGCTGGTCATTCAGGTCTGTGCTGGCCCCTTCTCTTGGGTTCCTACCACAGTGCTAGGACAGGGTAGGGCCTGAGGAATCTCTGACATAAGCGTAGAAGCGGAGTCCTAAAGAACAGAAGTGGCTTGTTCAAGGTTCCACAAATAGGGCATGGTCTTTGGAGTCAAGGAGGCCTGGGTTCAGGTCCTGACTGAGAAGTTGGCTAAGTCACTTGATCTCTTTGAGTCTTAAAGACGGGGTGCCTTCAGACAGGGCAGGACTCCCCAGATATCCCCTGTGGATGGAGAAGACAGAATCCAGGGCTCCATGGTGTGCGGGTCTGTGCTCTGCTAGCTATGAGAGTCTCTGAGGTCTCATATTTTAATTTTGTATTTCATTCCAGTTTTGCCCTGATGCAAATTTTAATAGGAAAATGTTACCCCCCAAACTATTGAGTAAAATTAGTACTCTAAGACAAGCCATATTTATCTTGGGCTGTTGACTACATTTTAACAAATTGTTGCCTTCCAAATGAACCTCAGTTTGAGAAGCACAATAAATATTGGATGGATGGATTGCTGTCCGGGTAGATGGACGGATGGATGGAGAGCTGAATGGTAAAGAGCATGGGATTTGGATTCAGAAAGGCCTGGTGTTGACTCTTTGCTCTATTATTTACTAGACGTTTGTTGTTGTTAGTAGCTGTCGGGTTGATTTTGACTCATGATGACCCCAAGTGTGTAGAGAATAACTGCTCCATAGGGTTTTCACAAGCTGTAACCTTTTAGAAGCAGATTGCCAGGCCTTCCAAGATGTCTCTGGGTGGGTTCGCACCACCAGCCTTTAGGTTAGTAGTCCAGCACTTAACCATTTGCACCACCCAGACTCTCTTTACTAGACGTAGGCAGGTCATTTAACTTCTATGAGATAGTTCCTGTACTAGTAAAATAAAGATAATAGTACCTACCTCATCCTCATTGCAAGAATTAAATGGTATACTGCATGTCAAGTGCTGAAAACAGCACCTGGGACATACAATAAACACTCAACAAATTGAGCCACAATTATTGTCAGCTTTCTCATTTATAAAATTGGGAGAAAAAAAAATACCCCTCACCTGGCAGTGCTATGTAAGTATCAACTCAGATACATTCACTGTTTCTGTGTGAACTTTCCTTGTAAACAATAGAGCACTATGCAGCCTGCGTGTTTGAGGGTGGGTAGTGGCAGTGCTGGGATTTCAAGGGGCTGGGGAGGGAATCAACATTTTAGACTTTTCTAGCAAGCCAAGCCTTGTGGTGTTCACTGCGGATACAGAGAGGATTTGGCCTCATCTGCCATCAAAGGGTCCACAGTGCATCAGAGTCCACAGACTTACAAACCAACAGTGACCACCCAGTGAATCAGGGCTGTGTTAGAAGGAAGTGTGGGGGCTGAGGGACCTGGAGGAAATCCCTTAAGCAACCTAGGATGTCAGGAAAGTTTTCAGAGGAGGTAATAACTGGGCAGAGGTTCATCAGAAAATAGGGAAAGGCATTCAAGGCAGAGGGGACAGTATGTGCAAAGGCTTAGAGGTGAGGCTCTGTGGTGTGACTGGAGGAAAACTCAGCACAGGTCCCCTGAGCACTTCCTGTGCCAGATGTTGAAGGAAGATGACACAGCTGGGGCAGAAAAGCAGACACTGGCCTTGTGGAATTGACCTCGATTGAGATGGGCATATTGGGACCCCTCAGGATGTCGGCATTGATCCACACAGGCCTCCGTACTCTCCCGTTCTCTGTGAACTGCCGCAGGAGGTCTAGGGAGGGGCCCAAGGCTTTGATGCTCTTGAAGTCCAGTTTGATGCCTGTGAGGAGGAAAGCAAGGGCTTCGTTAATGCCCCTGGTGCCTAAGGAAGAAGGAACCAGGAATATGTGACTTCCTGGGGCAGCGAGAGCATGTGTGTGTGTGTGTGTGCGTGCGCACGCATGTGTGTGTAGTGGGACTGGGGCGACGGGGACTCTATTCCAGCTGAGTGTGAGGAAGGGCTTTCATATAGGCAAAGCTATCCCAGAGAGGAAGGATCCATCTCTAGAGGAAGTGAGTTCACATCCCCAGAGGCCAGGAAGCAGAGGCCAGCTAAGAACTTGAGTCTTGGTGGGGCTGGTTGGTGCAGAGCAGAGTCGAGCATCTGGTGAAAAGGGGCTGCGATTCCTGAACAGGACAAGCTGAGAGTGCCCTAAGCCACCACAGCATGTAGGAAGGTCATTTGGCCTCTGGGAAGGGATGTTTGAGTAAAAGAGAGTGTCCCATAGTAGGGAAGGGCAATCTAGCTAGAGAAAGGACCCAGGATGAACAAAGGCACATGGATGTCCTTTTCAGGGTGTTGAAGAGAAGGGGATGAAGGGAGTGATAGGAGATGAGGTTTAGACATTATAGAGGGATGTTGAGAACTTGGTCAAAGAGATAACGCTTTGTCCTGAGGGCAATGGGGAGCCATGGAGGGTCGGGGCAGGGGAGTGGCATGATAAAATCGGCACTTTGGAAAGATTACTCGGGGATGCGTGCGTATGTGTGAGTGTGTGGTGTGTGTGTGTGGGGGGGGTGGGGAGTGGTGGTGGTGACTGGGAGAAGACTAGAGGGGCTGAGCTTGGAGGCAGAAAGCCAGTGAGGAGGGAACACCCTGAACATGTTTGGCACTTTGCAGTTTACCCTGCACTTTCATGTCTCCCCTGCGCGTCCAGGAGAGAACACCCTGAACGTGCACTTTCATGTCCACGTCTTACCTACTCTTCACTGTCTGGGACTTGGATGGGAAAGCCAAGGCAATGAATGAGCAAGTCGTGGCAAGAAGTAGACTTACCTCCTGGTGCTGGGATCCCTGTACTGCTGCTGAGGACCAGAGAACTGGGGGGCCGGGGAGCCAGCTTCAGAGGGGCCCTTACCCTTCTGGGAAGAGGCCAGCACAGTCTCCAGCCACTGCTGCAGCGTGTTATTGCTGTAGATGTCTGGGGGATGTGCCATGATGGGGACCCCTGTCTCATTGGCCGTGTTGAGCCCTTCCACTGTGACATCCGCCTCCAGGACCATGACGTCACCTGTGCAGGGGGCCAAACTCACGTTAGCTCCATTTTCAAGTATTAATTTTTCTTACCATAAAAGTATCACGTTTATTATAGGACATCTGGAAAATACCATAAAGTAGGAAGGAGAGGGAAAAATCGACTCAAATCTCAATTCATGTTTTGAAGTATTTTCTTTCTAGTCTATGGATAGTTTTTACATAGCTAAGACCACACTGCATTTATAACTTTGTATCTTTTTCTTTTAATATTATGACACGTTTTCACAGTCCTTCATGTCTCATTTTAAAAACATGGCTGCAAAAGCTGTAGCGAGTGTCCTCACCATGGTTGAGCTGACCATCCCCCTATTCCTGAGACATTTTGGTAGTTTCTTAATCTTTTTGCTACTAATTAAATAATGATGCCTATTTTATCCTGATAATTTCTGATCCCTGCTTGTGGAATCGGAGTCAGGGCAGCACAGGGTCATTTTAAAGCCCACATTATCAAATATCATCAAAATATTATCAGATGTTATCAAAATCTCCCTGGTTGGTGCAAATGGGTTGCATTTGACCCATTTGCAAAAGGTTGGTGGTTCTAATCCACCCAGAGGCACCACAGTAGAAAGGCCTCCTTCTGTAAAGATTATAGCCAAGAAAAAACCATGTGGTGCCGTTCTGCTCTGTAACATGGTATTGCCATGAGTTAGAGTCGACGACAACAGGTTTGAGTTTTTTTATTATCAAATTACTTTCCAAAAAAGTTGTTCCGATTCATGTTCCCACCTGAAGTGTGTGAGATTGCCCATCTTACCAGCACTGAGCATTATTATTTCTATCTTCTTTGTTCATGCACTTAATTTAATCACCGCTTTAAAGAGTTCAGTGTAGCCGGGAGTTGAGATCTCTCGTGGAAGTAGACACTGGAAGGCCACGCGAGAGGCAGTCAGCACTTGAGGAGCTTAGTGGCAGGAGGGGTCACTTTGGCTCATGTAACATCACAGTTAGCATTAGAAGGGACTTTTCCACTCATAGCCCTCTGACTGTTCTCATTCTGTCCTGAGTCCCTCCAATTTCATTTCTACACGGCCACTAGACTGAGTATGGTAAACATGTCACCTCCTGTTAAAAAACACCCATTGCCCTGAGAATCAACTCCAGACTCCGTACATAGTCTCACATCATCAGACCCTGACAAACTTTCCAATCTCATCTTGCATCTCTTTCTCTCGTCCTCATTCTCTGGGTGCCAGTCACTCCAGTGTCTCAAACAAATCACTGAGGCACCATGCTCAAAATGCATGTTCTGATCAGTGGGTCTGGGGTCCTCTCTGGATCCCTGGAGCTGTGCTAGGGGGTGACTCTCCCCGCTCCTGCAGTCAGGTACTGCCCAGCTTGAGATGGGGCCCTCGACATTTTGGACAAGGCGCCAACTTGGTGGGGCCCCAATTGCTCCTCTGCTGCCCTAGGGCTCACCCTAGGATGAGCCTGGGGGTGGCGGGTCCTCCTTGCCTTCTCTCAGGCCTTATTTCCCCAGATAAGCGTTCTCCTTCTCTGGCCTGATTCTCTAAGGGGGCAGGGCTCTGTCCTTATTACCAAAGCTGGTCAGTCAGCTTCCTAATTGGAGGAAATGCTTGAGCAGCAGGCAAACTGGACCCACTCAGCCTGCCTCTCCTCTTCTGACCACAAGCCTGCCTCTTCCAGGATGTCCTCCCTAACTACCCCTTCATTCATTCAGCAAACATTTCCCAGGCATTTACTCCCTGGCCTTCTGCCTGGTGACCCTGTAAGAATAAGAGCCAGAAGCCTGGCACCTAGACCTTGATCTGCTTTGTATCTACAGTGTCACCTTGGACAAGATCCTCTCCCACTCGGGACTCATTTTCTCACCTGAAATTGAGGGGATTGTGTTTGAGCAGAAGTTCTCAAAATGTGGTCCTGGGACCAGCAGCCTCAGCATCTCCTCGGAACTTGTTAGAAATGCAAGTTCTCAGGCCCCACCCCAGAACCACTGGGGTCTTTGATCTGTGTCTCCTTCTGCAAGCTCAAGTTGAAGAGCTGTCCCCTTCATCTTTCATAGTTATCGTATTATAGCTGACAAGCACTTTCAAAAACATCTGTTTGAGCTTCACAACAGCCCTGAAAGAGAGGTTGTTTTCCCTCTTTAACTAGAGGTTGAGCATAATGTAATTTCAAAGTATGGACTCGAGTCTGACAGCTCAAAAGCGCTTATATTTTGGCTTAACCACCTTCAAACAGTGTCACCTTAGGTAAATCACCTAACTTCTCTGAGCCTCAGGTTTTCTGCTCTAAAATGGGTTGCATGATAATCCCAGGAGAACCCACTGCATTGCGTGTGTTGTGTGTCCCACAGTGAGTGTTTGCAGACTGGTTGCCACAATAATTTTGAACCTAAGGCTCAGAGGAGTTACACAATTTGCTCAGATACCCACAGCTTGGTTCTGGTAGTATGGGGTCTCAAACTCAGATCTTCTGGCTTCCTTAGGCTTTGAGGGCGAAGACCTCCTTAGTAGGGACAGTTGTCACTGGACAGGTCCTGGAAGGGGTAGTTGGAAGGGAGAGCAGTACAGTGATGCCTTTGGAATCAGACATCTTGGTTCCAATACTGGGCTCAAAGCTAATCAGGTGCTCAACCTTGAGCTAGTCGCTTAACCTCTCTGAGCCTCCATTTCCTCATGGGGAGTATGACAAGAAAAGTGTAAATCACCCATCATAAAGCCACCTCACAGGGAGCCCTGGTGACACAATGGTTAAGTGCTCCACTGCTAACCAAAAGGTTGGCAGTTCAAACCCACCAAATGCTCTGCGGGGAGAAAAGACCTATTAATCTACTCCCTTAAAGATTATAGCCTAGGAAACCCTATGAGGCAGTTCTACTCCGTCCTATAGGGTCACTATGACTTGTAATTGACTTGATGGCACACAGCAGGAACAATACTACCCCACAGGAAGTCCCTTATGACTACAGTGTCATCTTGTCCTAGTCTCTGCTCGCCCTCCATCTCCTGCACCCTGCACCCCGCCTGTCCTTGTCCTGGTAGTTGCACTTACTGCTTAGGGCAGCCTTCATTGCTGCCTGGCTGTTGGCAGCATGGTACCAGGTGACCAGCAGGCCATCCCTGTGGCTGATCCAACCCTGGCTCAGCAAGTAGTCCAGCATGTCCGCGTCAGGGCGGCAGGCGGAGTCCGGCTCACAGCCTGGAATGAAAGCCAAGGGGGATGTTTGCATCAATCCCTGCCCCAGGACCCCTGTTTATTCATCCCATGGACACTCCCTGGGCTCCCACTGTGTGTCCAGCATATGAAATAGCAGAGACAGTGAAACCCCAGTGTTGTCAGTGCTGCGAGAGAGGGAAATAGTGGGCTCCCAGGACTTTCTGGCCTGGGGCAGCCAAGAAAGCTGGGAAGTTCAGAGAAGGAAACGTTGAGGGGGAGCCTTGAAGCATGGGTGTAAAAGTGACAGAAAGGGGAAATGGGTTATACCAGACAGCGAAAGCAGCATAAGCGAAGGCTTGGGGGTAGGAAAGAGCATGGTGGCTCAAAGGAATGGCCACTGGCCTGGGATAGATGGAACCTAGAGGAATGGAATAGGGCAAGATTGGAAAAGAGGCTTCCAATCAGGTTGCACTTGGCCTTGAACACCTGCAAAGGATTTTGGGCTATGTGGCTGTGTGTCAAGGGAGTGTACAGTGAGCTGGAGAGAACAGGCAGTAGGCAGAGGGTCTTCGTGGAGGAAGAAAGCCTCTGCAGGGGTCTCAGAGGAGACCCTGAGGCCTGAGCTGATCAAGGCTGCTGAGGACAGAATGTTGTTGAGTGCTGTCGAGTAGATTCCAATTCACAGCCACCCTATAAGATAGAGTAGAACTGCCCCATAAGATTTCTAAGGCTGTAATCTTTACGGAAGCAGACTGCCACATCTTTCTCCTGTGGAGCAGCTGGTGGGTTCAAACCGCTGACCTTTCAGTCAGCACTTAACCACTGCACCACCAGGGCTCTTTTGGGGACGGAGTGTAGGGGATAGGAAGGCACAAGGAAGACAGAGGCAGAACCCTTGAGGCTCGCAGGAAACAGAGATGAGGGAGGGGGAGGGTCAAGGTGACGCCCAGGTTCCTGTGTGAGTGGGGGTCCCTTCCCTGACAGGGTGCAAGCAGGAGCAGGTGTAGGGAAGAGGAAGACTTCAGCTCTCAGTGGACAGAGTTTGGGATGCTCACATGACCTCACAAGAAGGAATATCCATCTGAGGGCACAAGAGAGAGGTGTGCGCTGAAGCCCGAGCTTTGGTGGCCTGCAGGTAACTGCAGCCTGGTGAAAGAGAAGGGAAAAGAAAGCCAATGGGCCCTTCTGCTGGGGATGAAGTCTTGGTAGGGTTGGAGGATGGGAGAGGCAAATGGAGCTGTGGATAGGGAATGAGTATCGGCGGGGATGAGGGTCAAGAGATTGGGAAAGAAGTCTTGAGGGGATGAGGAATGAGCGATTCCTACCTGGCTGGGTGCTCTTTTGCAGGGTAAAGCTCAGGACCATCCCAATGGTGAACACCAGGGCCACACTGAAACTGCTGAAAAGTACCCACTTGGTCTGACTATCCGAGCACCCCCGCTTGCAGGCCATGATGCCCCTCTCTGTGGAATGCTCCTCACGGCTCAAGTGCAGCTGGGATCAAGTGGGAGGCAGGAGCTCCCAGCAGCACTCAGTTTTCCCCCCAGGCCTGGCCAGCTCCTGCAGCCTTGGAATGTCCCTGGGTGGAGAGCTCCTGAAGCACCTCCTCCCTCCTTCCTCCTGTCCTCACCCTCACAGGCTCTTAACAGGTCAAGCAGAAAATCTTGCTACCCCCTAAGGTGACCTTTGAGCACAGTAAGGAAGCAACAGAGAGTGTTGGAGCAAACATCCACCCCACCTGTTCACCCCTGCCTGGGAGTCAAGGGACCAGGGATCTAGTCCTAGCTCTGCCTGGCTTTGCTGCAGACCTATATAAAAGGAAACTGCTGGATTGGGCGATCTCTAATATCCTTTCCGCTTTTAACCCTAGGGCTTTTTGCCCTGCCCCAGGGAGTTCCACAGGCCAGGCAAGGGTTAGTGACAAGGTCAGATTAGACCTACCTTGGGGCATGAGTTTTCCTTCCATCCAAGATTATGCCTAATAGATTATCTCTCTGAGACAGGCTGATAGGCTGGCAGCTGGCCTGGTTCCTTCAGTCCACTAGGGCAGCAAGTCCATCGCGAAGGAAGGGGCTGAGTCACCACCTCAAGCAGAGGGTGTCTCCGGGGCCCCAGTGTGAGAATTAGTTACAGACTATCCCTGTCACGGGACCCTAGAGTTTAAATGAGCCCAATAATCACCTGTAACATGTACAAGGACTTTGGTTCACAATGAAGTTCCCAGGGCACCTGGTGACTGATTGAATTGGAGAAGTGTGGGGAAGAGTCTAGAATAATGCCAGGGGGGTGGATGGAGGAGTAGATTGGAAGGAGTTTGGTTCAGGCCCCATGGAGTCATGGGGGCTGTCAGTCATTCCTGAGGAGCTGCCCAGGAGGGAACTGGGACTCAGGAGCAAGATCAGACTGAAGACGAGGATGTGAATATCATTTCCAGTCTGAGGCGAAGAGAGGAGGGGGTGGAGGCAGACCTCTGGGGATCAATGACATCTGGGGAGTAGGTGGAAGAAAAGGAATCAGAAAGAGACTGAGACTGAACAGACAGGTTGGAGCAGGTTGTCCCAGAAGCCAATATAAGGGTCACTTCAAGCAGGAAGGGGTGTCACTCAGCCTGGAGATGGAGTCCATGGTGAGAGTGGTGGTGATGTCAGACAGGACAGTGCCCACGGTCAGGGTTTGGGTAGGGGGAAGGAGAAGTAAGACAAGAAATTATTCAGAAGAGATGGGAAGGACTGGAGAGAGGAGAGGCTACAGACACAGCATGGAAAAGGTAATGGAGCTGGTGAGCAGAAGGAGGTATGAAAATGCAATATTTTCTTACCTCAGGATGGTATTATTAGATTAGATTATAATATTTATTCAAAGAGCTTATTCTGATTGGTTTAGTGATAAATAAGTACTTATATAAATTATATAGTCCTAATACTCCCAGGAATGAATGAAAGTGAATTCGTTCTGACTAAAGTTTTTACGTTTTGTAGTATGTCCACTTAAAAGTAGTTTCCAAACTAACACAACCTGTACAAGGAAAGGTCATGGAAGCCCCATAGACACGTCTAAACTCCCCGAGGGACTGAGTTGCTGGGCGGAGGGCTCTGGGGACCATGGTCTCAGGGAACATCTAGCTCAATTGGCATGACAC